TGGATCATGGCAGGCCAGAGAGGGTCTCAGGGGCCCAGGGAGCCCTGGGAAAAGCAAGACTGGGCATTAAGCCTGAGTTGGCCCAGCAGGAGCCTCTCACTGTGACTTCGGAATGGGTTTGCAATGCCCACCCTGCCCTCCACTCCAATCTACTCCAGCTGGCAGCCATGGCCACGCCTAGGCCTGCCTTCCCCACCCCGCTGGGTGCTTGTGGGTCCTCTAACCAGGTGGCCCCCTCTCCCGACCCGGTTTTGACCGCTCGCTGGGCTCCTGCTGTGAACAGTGGCTCCCAATTTAGCTGTCACTGGCGGGTGGGTGGCTCTGGAAGGATCCGCATTCCCTGCAGGGGTGGGGGAGGGGCATGAATCAAGTGCTGATGCCTTGGGCACAGCCTAGGGACCCTGCCTTCCAGACTTTTGGCCCTCACGGACCAGGAACGTCCTACTCAGCCCTAGGCCCTCAGGGACCAGGAACGTCCTACTCAGCCCTAGCCCCGGTCTCAGCCAGTGCCCAGAGAGAGGCCACCAACCTACACTCACTGAGACAGGACCCTGAGCCCACCCCCCAGTGACAACTAGGGAGCCCTGGGGACTCACCGCATCTTCTGGGAGTCAGCAGAAGGGGCAGATCCAGCTTTGGGTGCCATGTGCCAGTGCTGTGGGTCCCACTCAGCCTGAGTCCCCTACCCTCTCCAGGCTTAGGTTCCCATCCTGGAGACCGGCCACTAGAAGCGGGGATGGGATGTGCAGTGAGGGCCACCACTGTGTAATGCACACACTTCCTCGACCATGCCCGGCAGCCTCCCAGAGGTGGGAGGTGCTGGCAAAAAGAGCATCCAGCATAGCAGAATCCAGGATGCCATCCTGTGGGAGGAAGCCTCTAGTTGGTGTGGGGATCGGAGGCATTTGGAGATGGGCAGGCCCAGTGGGATTCTTGGGGATGCTGCCAGGGATTGGGCTGTCAGCCCCTTCCCTGCATTGGCCCCCATTGCTGCTGTGTGTGGCTTTGATGAATAAGAGAGGAAGAAGCAGATTAATTATGGCCTAATATGCACCAAAGGTGGGCAGAGGGACTCCTCAGAGGCACTCCTCAGGCAGGCCTAGGCGTGGCCATGGCTGCCAGCTGGAGTAGATTGGAGTGGAGGGCAGGGTGGGCATTGCAGACCCATTCTGAAGTCACAGTGAGAGGCTCCTGCTGGGCCAACTCAGGCTTAGTAGTGTATGTGGCTTTACTGGATGGGTGTAGTGGGTGTCCTCAGGGGCACAGGGCTGATGACAGAAGGCCAAGACACCCTCTGCAGCCCTGAGGTTGGGGTGATGGGGGTTTCTGGGTGAAGTAGTGGCTGTGGGCAAAGGTCATCCTGGGAGGGGCTGCCAGGATGTGGGTCTACCTAAGTTCCCCTGACCTCCATTTTCTTGTCTGTAAAATGGGTAGTGGTGGTACTGTCTACACCATAGGACAGAATGGGGTGATGCACTTAGCAGGCCTGGCACAGAGTTCTTTTGGGCCTTGGGCAGATAGCTGCCCTGTGCAGAGAGAGCAGATGGCAGGCCAGCGCCCCCCAGCTCCCTGGAACTGCGACCACATTCCCAGCCACCCGCTCAGAGTGCTGGGAAAGGTCACATTGGAGCAGCACCTGGGTGGAAGCAGGTTTGCTGCATGCCCTTGGAGCTAACAGGTCCTTTCTTGCACTGCCTTGGGGTGACCCAAAATGTGTGCAGCAGAGGCCATGCCCCTTATTCCCCCATCCCTCCCTGGGAGGGTGTCAATGGACCACATGCACATGGGTACCACATCAGCTGCCCAAGCAAAGCCAGCACAGGCCTTTCTGTCCAAGACGGAAACAAGCCTCTGGGAGCATCTGAGCAGGTTGACTCCTGTCCCTGTCACCCAGCACCAGCCACAGTGGAAGGGTCCCCTTGTCCAAGCTGGATTCTACCTCCAGTGGACCTGGAGGTTTGAGTGAGAATCCACGTGCCCCCTCAGGGCCTTGTACAGGCCTCTCAGGGAATAGGATAGGTTGGGCAAAGGAGGGACAGCGGCCAGTTGATCCATCCCAGGAGGTGTTAGTGTCGGCCTCATCCACATGCTGCCCCGAGCTCAGAGAGGGCAAGGGGCTGGACTGAGGTCACACAGCTGGGAGGGCCCGCTCATGCCTGACAGGCTGAACTTGGAGGCTGGTCCTCAGGGAGGAGGAGGGGGGTGAGGCAGCCCTGTATGTGGCTTTACTGGATGGGTGTAGTGGGTGAGCTGACAGAAGGCCATTGTGGTGGGTCTGAGGGGGACAATTCAGGCAGAAGCCCAGGCCAGGCAGGGGTGACAGGATTGTTCAGCCCCAAGAGCAGAGCTGTCTGCAGTCTCCAGGCCAAACCCACTCCTGATCCCCAGAGCTATGTGTCCAGAAAGCCTGGAGAACTCAGATCAGTGTGGCCCGAATGGCCTGTCATCTCTCCACCCTTGCTGGGCGACCCAGGGACTGGTCAGCAGTGTGCAACCAGGCTCTCCCCACGGTGTCTCTGGCTCCAGCCCTGAGCACTGACCCCTAGGGCTGGCTGTGCTCCTGGACCAGAGGCTGCAGCCCCATCCCTCATGCTTTCCTGGACCTGCCCACACCCTGATAAACGTGGCTTACCATACCCCTACCCCACCCCCGCCACTGTCTCCAGCCTGAGGAGACAGCTGCATCCTGCTGGAGGCCAACTGACCTGCCACCCAGCCCTGCTCAGCTCCTCCTCTGCCTGCCATGGGCCCCCTCAGTGCTGGCCCACACCTACCTCTCCCTCCCCCCAGCCAACACCCACAGCAGACATTCAGGAGTCATCCTACAGGCTGGGCTTCCAGCGAGGAGGGTGCTGGCCAAGGTGCTGACTGGGGCGGGGGGGCAGACGAAATCTTTCCCACAGCCTGCAGTGGCTGGCTTGCAGGTCTCAGCCCCACTCCCACCACACAGAACTGTGGGTGGGTGGTAGGCCCAGCCCCAGGCCAGAACAGCCAGGACATCCGGGCTTGATGGATGAAACATGTGGGCCTGTGCCCCAGAACGGCTGCCCCCGGCTGCTGCAGGAGGGGGCTTTGAACCTACAGGCAGGCGGGGCACAGTCTTTAGCAGTGGTGGGCCAGCCTGGGGTCCTAGATCATTATAGCCACCCAGGAGCATGGGATCGTGGTCCACACTAGCCCTGAGCCGAGAATGATGGCCAGTGCCACATGGCTTGTCATCTGGTCTGAGGTGGCCCTGTGGGAGAACTCTTCCTGATCTGGGAGCTCCTGCATGCAGGGACCTTGGGGGAAGAGCTGACATGGGGGACAAGCCTCAGCCTCCTGCTGGCTCTGTGAGCTTGACCTCATGTTCCCCATTTACACAATGGGGGACACACCTCCATGTGGCTGCGGGGGGATTCACTCGTGGCACCCAGCAACTACTGGGTGAGGTGGTTCTGGGTGCATGGCCGGGTGCAGGCGCAAGTGCACAGGAGCTGGGGGTCTTGGTTCCCCCTCAGCTCCCATGTGTCCGGGAATTGAATGTACTCCACAATGACCTGGTAAGCCAATCCTGGGACAAGGGTGACAGGGACGCAACAGGCAAAGGTGTGGTCAGGGCCACAGTGCAGCAGCCAGAGGGGTCTGGGCAGTGTGGCCTGTACCCTAGGCCAGAGAGTTGGCCTGGCACGGGCACCATTATTGGTCTCCAGCCCACGAGGCTGCCTGTGATTTTGTGCTCAGATGGGAGCACTGGGCTCAGAGAGGTCCTACTTGCCCTTGGTGAGGCCAGCAGGCCTTGATCCCTTTGCTCTGCTGACGTCTCCCAGCCACATCTGAGGTCAGGAGGCCTGATGGGGAGGCAGAATGTGCCAGGCCTCCCAGTCACCAGGTCCCTCAGCTTCACATCACTGGAACACTGGCTGGGCTCCCAGGGAGACCACCAAACCCTCAGCCAGGATGCTCCAGTCACAGGGAGCCTGCCAGTTCAGGTCCTGCCCTGGGCACAGGGTCCTACAGACTGGAACCAACTCTCTCAGCCAGTCCCCATCCACGTGGCCCTCTTACCTGCCGGGCAGGCTCAGAGAGGCCCAGATCTGGCTGATCAGCTCCCAGCCCTCCTCCATGTGCAGGGCAGCCTGCAGGGACGCTGGCCTGGCAGCTGGCTGAAGACTCAAGAACTTATCTGTGAGGCCAGGTAGATCCCCGAGCAGCAGAGGGGGGTGGGATGCCTATGCAGATGTGCCTGGGGTGTGAGTGTGTGTCACTGGGTTCTCTGGCACTAGAGCCTGGCCTGGCTTTGAGGAGGGTGGGGTACTAAACAAGTGGGCTCAGAGGGGAACTCCTGGGCTGGAGACCCCATCCCACGGGAGGGAACAGGTGGGGGGCACCTGTGGAGGTAGGGGCGGGCCCGTGCCTGAGTCCCCTCCCTGGGTGGTGCAGAGAAGGCCACAAAGACAGGTGGGGACCTGGGAAGTCTCCTAAGCTTTAAGTCTGTTTTCTAACTGAAAAATGGAGCAATGCTACCCCAGCAAAGGGTTGCTGGGCAGGGGGGTTGGCCTCCAGGGTTTACTGAGGAGAGGAAGGGCGTGGGCCAGGCAGAGGCGCACCCCGCATTCCCAGGCCTGCGGACCAAGCCCTGCCCGGAAGCTGGCCGCTGGGGGACCCCCAAAAGCCTCCAGTCCGGGCCGCCACGCCCTCAGCCCGCGCTCTTAGACGACTCGGGCCGGGCCGCCATTCCCGTCGCCGCCTGCAGGGGCCGCCGCCTCTTTAGAAACGCGCCGCCTTTGTCCTGGTCGCGCGGCGCCGCTGCACCGGGCGGGCTGAGCGCCTCCCGCGGCCCGGCCCGCGCCCCCGGCCCGCGCCCCTCCCGCAGTCCCGGCCCGGCCCGGCTCAGCGAGCTCAGGTGGGCGCCCCGCCCGCCGCCAGGCCCCGCCCAGGCCCGCCCCCGCCCCGCCTGGCCCGGCCGGCGGGGACCCGGCGGAGCGCTCGCGCGTCAAACCACATGATCCCATAAAACATTCATCCGCTCCCGGCCGGCTGCCCTCGCCTCCGCGCCGCCGCCCGACAGCCCAGCCGACCGGGCGGAGCGTGCAGCCTCGTCCCGCGGCCGGGCCGGGGCCGGGCCGGAGCTGCGGCGCCTGGATGCGGACCCGGCCGCGGGGAGACGGGCGCCGGCCCCGGAGCGACTTTCGGTCCCCGACGCGCCCTGCCCGACCCCTAAGATGAAGAGGGCGTCCGCCGGAGGTGAGTGCCACGCCCGGGCCGGCCGGCGGGGACCCGGGCGCCCCTCCCTGAGCCGCGGGGCGCGCTCGGGCTGCCGAGGCTGCGGAGGGTTACCGCGCGGCCGCGAGGCCACCGCAATGCTGCCCGGCCCCGGGAGGGCGGAGCCCGCGGCAGCAGGAAAAGTTGCCGCTTCCCTGGAAAGTTGGCGGCGGCGGCGGGGCTAGTGTGGGGGCTGCTGGCTGGAAGGGTGGGGTCCTGCCTCTGATCGCCCGGCCGCGAAGGGGTTAATGAGCAGGTCTGAAGAAACCCGGGTACCGAGCAGAGGTGGGGGGTGTCCAGCCGCCTCCATCCTCGACCCGCGGACTCAGCTCAGGACATGTGGTTTTTCTGGGGTTAGACCGCAGCAGGATGAATGGGGGCGTTGGCGACAGTAGAGGGCGTGGGGGGCGGGGCTGGCCCAGAGCTGTCCCCCCCAGGGGGCGGGCGAGGAGAGGCGCAGCCAAGCACCCCCTATCCGCAGCCTGAGGGTGCCTGAGAGCCCCTGCGGGCTCCGCTGAGGGGCACCAGAGGTGGTGGGGCTCCAAGCACCCCCTCCCTGGCAGCTCTCATGGGACCCTTCCCCCCTACCTGGTGTGAGGTGCTGGGGGTGACCTCCTGTAGGGGGAGTTGGACATGCCTTCCCTGGAGGGTGCTCCCCTCGTCCCCCCCCACCCCCCCTTGCCCCAGGGTGCCCTGCTTATTTCCAAGGTGCCGCAGGCTGCACACGTTTCTTTGCACGTGCACATGTCTACAAGGGCTGCACAGTTGCACACCGCATGTGCACATGCATGCCAGGCTGCCCCGTGTGCACGCGTACACACACACACACACACTGTGGGTGCACATCCATGTCCTCGCCCCCGCCTGCTCGCCCACGGCCATGCATGCACATAGCGTGCCTGCTGTGGTCTCCACACTTGGCGCACGCTGGGTCCCCTCTGAGGAACCCATTCTTGTGCCTACATGCACGTGTGTTAAGGGGGAGGCCCTGGGCAGCCGGAGCTCAGACGGGTGAGAAACCGGCCACAGGATCCAAACCCCGTGTCCGGGATTCTCCCCTCCCAGCCCCCTGGGGCTGTGTGTGTGTGAACTCGGTATGCGTCTGCACATGTGTCTCTGTTCGCATGACCATGTGTGCCTGTGAGCATATCGGCATGTGTCTCTTTGCCTCTGGACGTGGGTGCCTCTGTGTGCCCAGGCAGCCCGTGGCCAGGTTCCACCCAAATCTGTAGCAGGGAATGTGTGTTGGGGGCCCAGTGCCCCAGCCCAGGGTGTGAGGCCAAAGGAGTGTCTGATTCCTCCCCGTCCCCCCAGGCTGGGGCAGTGGTGGCTGATGGGGGCTGGGACCCACCTAAGCAGGGGAGGCCCATTTCACACCTCCAGGTCAGCACCGTGACACACAGGCCAGACCCCCGGCATGCTCTGCAGTCTGCCACTAGGTCCAGCTCAGGGTAGGTATATGCCCAGCCCACGGCTGACCCAGGGTGACCTCAGGAAAGCTCTGCCCCCGGTGCCTAGGGGTCTCCACGGCGAGAGCCTTCTTGATGAGAGGTTCTGTGGTGTGTCAGCTGCCTCAGGTGCTGTGTGCAGGTCTGAGGTAAGGGTATTGGTGACTCGCTCTCACTGTGGTGAGGAGGACCCCAGGCCAGGGCTCAGAGAGGCAGGGCCACACCACCTGCTCTCCCCCGCACCCATCAGTGTCCTTGTCTGTAGAATGACGACAAGTAGGTCATCCTTATAGGCTTGAAACAGAGGGGTGGGTCCCACGATGGGGTGGGCAGTGGGGCTGGCCACTCCCCTTTTCTAAGCCTCAGTCTTTCTATCTCTAAAGTGGGTATCATCACTGCTCCCACTTCTACTCCAGTTGAGGTGAGGAAGGAACCAGGTCCCTGCAAGGCAGAAGGCTGTTCACAGACCCTGATTCCTGGGTGTGGGGTGGCAGAAGAAGAAGGGCCTGGATGTGGGTCCTGGCTCAGCCACCGATAGTGGTATGACCTTGGGTGTGCAGTTCACCCATGCCTTAGTCTCCTTACCTGTGACATGGTCAGTAATTGGGCCTCCCTCAGGGGTTGTTGGGGACACTTAAAGGGTGAGGCCCCCACAGGGCTCTGACCCCAGTGCTTCTGCGTTCAGAATACTGAAAACACCACCACCCTGCCCCACTCAATGGTTCCCACACAGGGGAGTCCCCCTGGAACCCTTGCACTGCCAGCTGGACCCTCCCTCCTAACCATTTGCAGATGGGAAATAAAGGCCCATCGAGGTCACTGGGGAGTTGGAGAAGGGGGTGGGCAGGTGGGGAGGCAGGGAGGGAGAGAGGGCCCTGTGGGAGGTGTGAAGTGGCCACCGATGTGTCCCCCACACTGGGGCAGCATCTTTACTCTGCCCCTTACCAGCTGGAAGCCTGCAGAACCCCTGACCCTTGGTTTCCCTATGTGAGGACTAACGGTCAGCTGGGGGCCCTTAGGTCAGAGCTGGCTTTCTCCCTGTGGTCATGGAGGAGAGCCTGGCCCAGGGGGTCTCAACAGCCAAGAGGGCTTGTAGGGGGTCCGTAGGAGATGTGCTCGGGCTCTGGAAGGCAGGGGAGGCTGAGGGCTGCCCCAGGTCCTTGGTGGGACCCAGGGTTTGTTTGCTCTTGCTCATTGTGAGTGACGGGCGGTGAGGGGCCCGATGTGTGCAGCTGTCCCCACCCCCACTCTCTAGACTCCGACCTCACCCTCCCTCCGCTGCCCTCAGGACAGCCGGCACGCTGGGCTGGCCCCTCAGTGCTCCCTGCCCCGGCCTTGAATTCATGGCTTTGTGGCATGGAGGCCTGTGGCAGCTGGGGCAGCACCAGGAGGGGCCCAGCTGGTGGAGGCAGGAGGAACTCACCCCCACCACCCCAGGGCTGTGTTTCCTGCTCTCCTGGGCCTGTAGCCAGAAAGTCTCCGTGGAGACTCAGTCTGTGCATCCAGAGAGGGGTCAGGAGCATGGAGAAACAGTGAACTGAGCCAAAGGAATGGGAGAATGGGGGTCTCAGTGAGCATGGGGAATAGGTGTGAGTGGCACTCTGGCCCCCAGGCCCCATCCTGGGGTTCCTGACGGCTCTTGGCCCCGCACAGTCAATGAGGTTCAGGCTGCCCTGTGCCCAGGGCTCTGACCTCTGACCCCTAGGCCGGGCTGCCTGACCTTCTGTGGCCCATCTGCTCCTGCCCCTTCCAGCAGTCCATTCCCAGATAACACGTTTGCTTTCAGGAAACTGTTCATTCACTCACTCACTCGCTTATTCCTGGCCTGTCAGACTCCCTCTGAGCCAGGCAGGTGAAGGGATGTGGTCCTTGCCCACCTGACTTTATAGGACTAAATGCTTTAAAGGACAGGTGGCCATGGAGCTGAACATGGCAGCCCAGCCAGAGCAGCATCCGCACCCCTGCATCTCCTGGTGCCGTTGCTGGATCGTGTGGGCCCAGCCGGGTGTCTTGTGCTGCAGTTTCTTCTTTGGTCGCTGTATTTTAAACATTTTGCACGTCGGAAACTGTTCTTGTGTATCATGGGTTTGCGGGTGTGTGTGGAATCCCTTCCCGAGGATGCGCCATCATTTATTTATCCAAACCTGCCTCGGCCTCTCACACTGCCCGTGCTTGTGCAGCTGGACAACCAGAGAAGTGTCCCTGGTGCAACCCTGCTATGTCCCCCGGGGGCGTGGTCAGGTGCCCCTCCCCCAGTAGGAGGCAGGGCCTGATCCCAACCCTTCCCAACCTTTTAAGTGGAGCGGGGCAGAGCCCTCGGGCCTCTCCCATCCCTGGGGTTGCATTTCTGCTACTCACAAGTGAAATCTGTTTCCTGGCCTTCATCAGGAATCTGGCTCTGCTGCTGGTCCAGCCCTAGTGCAGCCGGCGGCGGCGCTTTGGGGCTGTCTCTCTCCTGCCCCCTTCACTTAGCCTCCGCCCCAGCCCCGCAGTGTCCTGACAGTCCTGTCTCCTAGTGGGCCCGCTGCCTCTCCCTGCCTGGGGATAGAGAATGGGCCATGGCGGCCCAGTCCTACAGCCTTGTTAGTGCCCCCCTGCCGCCAACCCAGGGCAGGAGGTGGAGCTGAAGGGCAGGGCTGTTGGAAGCCCTCCCAGAGGGGGAGGGGCCCTGGGGAGGAGCTGTGCTTGTCTAAGGCTGGCCCAGGTGGGCCTGGCAGGTGGTGAGCCCCGGCCAGGCCCTGGCACGTGGAGCTGGGCTGATGGTGGCACGGGGAGCCCAGTAGAGGAACCGGGGTGTCAAGAGCTGACTCAACTTTGTTCAGGCAGCCTCCTGGTGCCCCAGGGGGATGCTCTTTGGCCTAACGCCATCACAGATCATGCTCCATGGAACTGAGGTTCCACGGAATGTTGGTGGGGCTTGGACAAGTGTTTCGTGGTCAAGCAAATTTGGGAATGGCTGGGTAAGAGGTGTTGACAGAGCTCCTTTACCACCCCTGTGTAACACACTCAGGGTCTAGTGTATCCAGTAACCTATTTTGGGAAACAGTGGCTGAGGTCCTTTGGAGGGCCTGGGTCCATCAAGGGCTCCAGGGTGGGTGGGCCATCCCACACAAATCCTGCAGCCAAGCACCTGGTGGGTGGAGGGACCATGCTCTCCTGGCAGCAAGGCAATGTGCAAATTTAACCTTTGGGTTTATGGCTCTATTTCTTTGCAGCAAATGTCACGGGAAATGTCAGGCTAAGGCTGAAGCTGATGGGTGAGGGGCCCATCGAGGAAGGGGGTGGAGTGCTGAGGGGCTCAGGCCAAGGCAAGGCTCTAAGTCCCTCACCTCCTCCCGGGAGCCCTCTCAGATTGCCCCTCAACTGCTTGGGCCCAGCACCATGTGCCCGGTCTGTCCCAGCCCTTGTGACCTTGTTGAGATGTTGCCTTTATTTACCTCCTGCCAGAGCCCAGATGGGGTGGGCTCAGGGACCTGCCAGAATTCTCCCTGCCCTGAAGTCTGGGCAGCCGTTGGATCAGCCTCTGCAGTACTG